GCCTCCCACGTGCACACACAGGAAAAACAGGAAAAGAGAACAAGAAATAACCAAACACAACTTCTGTCCTTCTTATTTCCAACCCCAAAGTAACCTGACAGAGATCCACTGAAGAAAGGGATTTTTTTTTAATTATTTTTATTCTTTTCGGGATTTGCCCTGGAGGGGCTCTTGCGTGGGAGCACAGCCCCGGATCTCGCACAGGCCGCTGCCGTTTGCATGGCTGTGGCTGCGGGTGCCTCAGTCGTGCTGCTTTAGCAGCCCTCGGCACTCGCTGCACAGAGAAGAGCTGGGCAGACTGTGCACTGACTGCCTGGTCCGGTGCTGGGATTTCTGTGAMTGGGACATGATTAGAATCGAGGAATAATGATAATAAGGGTTGTCATTGCTAGCTCTGGACCAAGGTTGCTTTATTGGAGGAGGTCTGTCCTCGCGTGTTTTGGGGGTGGTTTGTGAGCGCCTTGGGGAGTGGAAAGGGAAAGTTGGTTTGTTTGCTAACGACTGCGGGGAAAAACATCTCTCCGAGCGTGAGGAAGGGCCGGGGCCGGCGGCCGGACCACCTCGCCCGCCCCTGCGCTGCCCCTTCCCGTCCCGCTGCCCCGGCGCGTCCTGCCCCGGCGCCGCGGGCTGTCCCGGCTCTGCCCCGCTCGCCCAGGTCGGCGGAGCCGCTCGCGGCCGCCTCCGCCGTGGCAGGTGCTCCGGATGCCAGCGGCGACACGCGCATTGTGCGCGGGGGACATTCCCCGCGGGACGCGCCCTTGGGAGCCCCTCAGCGCGGAGTCTGGGCGGCGGCGCCCCCGGGAAGCCAGGGAGGCAGCCGGGGAGCCCGCCGTTTTGGGGTGCCCGCCGGGCCCGGCGAGGGGCAGCCGTGGGCCGGCCCGGGGGGAGGCCGCTGAGCTCGGGGGCAGCTCTGCCCTCCCTTCGCTGGGTCTTCTGAGTCAGGCAAAAAATAGCCCCTGACTTAAGAGTGGGGTCCGGCAAGGTCACACGCAAGTGGAAAGTATCGAGGAGATTAAGAGCGAGTGGGTTTTTCCCTGCAGGAAGGAATTTATGGAGAGCCCCTGAAAATTTCTATCTTATGATGGCGATTTAAATATAGCCCCSTTCCTCCCCGCCCGGGCCGCGCTGGGAGCGCGCGGCGGCTCCGGGCCCGGCGCCGCGGGGGCTGCGCGGGGTCCCGCGTGCCGAGGCCACCTGGGCCTCACCTGCGCATCCCTCCCATTGGCCCGCGCTTAATGACGTCACGGGGGGCTCCCGAGGAGCCGGTGCCATCGTTTTTTTGGGACAAGCGCCGGGGAGAGCGGGAGGCTGGTGCGGGCTCCGGCTCGGGGCGGCGGGAGGCAGCAGCCGCAGCGTGAGCCCGGCCTTAGAGAAAAGGGAGAAAGGGAGAGAGCGGAGGAAAAAGAGAGGGAGACGGCGGTGGTTGTTGGAAGCCCCGCGGCGGGCCGGGCTGCGCAGGGCGCTCTGCCGAGCCGGGCTGCCGCCGGGCTGCCTGCTCCCCCTCGGGCTCCGCTGGCCAAGCGGGTCGTGCCAGCACCGGCCTCGGCGGCTCCGCGGCCGCGCTGCTCGGGCCGGAGGCCTCGGGGCCGCTCTCCGCAGCGCCCGGGGCCGGGGCTGGTCCCCAACCGGCATCTCGGGCCCGGGCGGGTTGCCCTTCTTGGGAGGAGACGCAGAAATGCAGATACGCGGAGTTACGCGGATGCGCAGATATAATAAAGTTTCCGAAGCTGGGCTGGAAGGCAGAGGGGTGGGTCGGTATTCCCTGTAAACTGCTTTGTGACAGGAGGAATGTGCTTTAATAGTATCAGGCATTGCATACCTATAAATATATATATATATATATATAATAGTATCAGGCATTGCATACCTATAAATATATATATATATTTCATACATGTGTATAGGAGGGAGGAAAGGCCCCGAGGGCAGCACAGAGCGGTGCGCCCAGCCCGGTGTCGGTGTCCGGCCTGGAGCGCGGGGTAGGAGCTACCAGTGAGACTGTTGCTAGGTAAACTCCGTGCCTGCAATAAAGATGCAGCCTCTGTCCCACTGGAAAAGAGAGAGAGGAGGGAAAAAAGTTAAAAAAAAAAAAAAAAAAAAGTAAAAGTAAAAGCATTTGGGGAGATTAGTACAAATACTTCTTTTTCTTCTTCTCTCCTGCCTCTCTGCCCTATCAGCGGTGTTATAAATAGGTCGTCTTTAGATCTAGGTCCGGTACAAAAGGAACTCGCAGCCTTATAGTGATCCAGTAAATAAATAAATAAATAAATAAATAAATAAATAAATAAGAGAGAGAGAAGAAGGAGTACAAGCTGGAGATAGTTTCCAAGAGCCAGAAGCTCCCAGAGAGCCGAAGAGGGGACATTGTGAACGATTCCCTGTCTCCCCATCTCCCTCCCCGCTAAGAGGAGCCCATTCCCTGGCCTGGGGCGCTCGCTCTGTCCCCGACGCCGCCGCCTCTCCCGGGAAGGGCACCTGGATCGGTGTCCGGGGAGCCCTGGCGGTGCCGGGGCCGGCCTCGAGGGGGACGGGGATGGGGATGGGGATGGGGATGGGGATGGGGATGGGGATGGGGATGGGGATGGGGAGGCAGCGCCTTCCCCGGCGCGGCGCTCCCGCCGCCGCCTCCCCTGGCCGCGGCACGAGACGGAGTTTGGAAATTGCGCGGATTTTTTTCTTCTTCTTTCAGCGCTCGAGGTGCGGAATTCACTCGCTGTCTCCCGCTCTGCACACTCGGGTCTCACCCCAGTAGCAGTGCCCGCTTCTGYCCCAATAAAAAAAAGGAAAGAGCGGCTCCTAAATGACCCAGGCAGGGCTGCCGTGAGCTGCTCGTGTCCCCCCCGGCGCTGCCGGCGGGGCCGAGGCTGGGGCACTGGGAGAGAACAGCTGGTTCGGCCGGGATGCGGGAGCCGAGTGATTCCCGCAGCAGGGACATGCGCTGGGTGACCATGGGGACATGCGCAGGACCAGTTTGCTCTAAGCTGGGCTTTCCAGTGCTCGTAGGAATAGACCTTTGCGGGGAGGGGGGGGGGGGGTGATACCTTAAAATAAATAAATAAAGCCAATGTAGCTAAAAGTGGTCTCGATTTAAAGTATATGTACGTATATCGCAAGTGGATTTCTGCAGAGCGCAGACTCTTTCGGCTGCTTTTTCGCCCTTCCCTTTCGGATGTATTTTTTGTAAAGACGAGTCAAATTTAGGGTCACTCGGATGGAAAATGGCGAGCTCGCCTTTCGGRGAGATTGTGTCGCCTTCCGTGCCGTTTTGTCCCTGCTCCTGCCGCTGGGGCCACTGGCGGGGATGCTGCCCTCGCCCCTGGGCGGCGGAGCCCTCCCGGTCCCCGCAGCCCGGCCGGGCCCGGAGCCCCGAACCCCCCGGCCGGGCCCTGTCCCCTTCCTCCCGAAGGTGGCACAGCCGGCCCGGCGGGAGGGGACACGGAGCCCGGCCGAGCAGCGCGGGCGAGGAGCGGCGGCCGCTTTTATGTCCCCGGGGCTCCGCTCCAGCTAACGGGGCTGCGGCAGCAGCCGAGAAACTCGCTGGGGGAATTTCGGAGCCAGCCCAGCCAAACGAAAACGGCCGAGAAAAGCGGCTCCGCGGGTAGTTGCCCTGCACCACATCGCCAGGTATTTGCAAGCAGCCGCTCAACGGCTCGGTAACGATTCCCGAATTAACCTCTCGCTTCCATGGACACAAATTGGCCATTAGAGAGAGGGTTTTATTGAGATCCTTTCCGCGGGGCAGCGGATTAGTTCTGATTGGGAACTAATCGACTTTTCGTTGAAGTTAAATGCAAGGAGAGGCTGGCTGAGCGCCGCGGCGGAGAGACCCCGGGCAGCCCCCTCCCGGCACGGGCAAGAGGGGCTGCCTCCCAGAGCCCCGGCTCCGCGGGGCTTGCGGAAATAAATAAATTAACAAATAAACCTCCCCCTGCCCGATCCTGGAGTATATTTCTCTCTCTCTCTTTCTTTTTTTTTTTTTTTTTTCTTTCTCTCTTTTTTTTTCACTGCTTTTATTTTCGCGGCAAATTTGCCGAATATAACGAGGCCAAGGATAATGTCACGGTTTCTTATCCTCCCAGCACTTAGAAATACCTGAACATCACTTCTCTCTTAGGCTGCTTGATCGCTCGCCGCTTTAATGGCTCTGGAAAGAGACCCACTGGAAACCGTGAACTCCACGCGCGCGGACGCGCGCGCCGGGGCGCTCCTTAACGCGGGTGCCTGCAGATCCGTGAGGCCGGGGCTCGCGCTGCGGGACCCGGGCAGCGTTCCGGCTCGGAGGATTCCCCCTGGCCGCCCAGGAGCTGTTTTTAAGAGAGACTCGCACGCATTGAGTGGGGTTTGCTTTTTATTAAGTCACGGGGAGAGAGTGAGAGGGGCTGAGGTGGCGGTGGGGAGCCGGGGTGGGGGGAGAGAAAGAAAAGAAAAAAAAAGGAAAAAAAAAGAGAGAAAAGGGAAGAATTAGGCAAGTAATAAAGAGAATAAGAAAGGAAAATCCTCTGAAATCTTTCTTGGACCAGAAACCAGAGCGAGCCGCTCGCTGTCGCGCTGCTCCGAGGGAGCCGTGCGAGCGCTTCGCACTCTCCCCGCTGCATCTATCCACCCATCCATCCATCCCTCCATCCATCCCTCCCTCCATCCATCCTCTGCTGTTCCTAGGACGGCCTCGCCGGGGATCCCGCCGCGCGGGCGGAGCGGGGCTGGCAGCGCGCGGCTCTGCCCGCTGCGCGCAGCTCAGCGACCGCGACACTGCGCGGCCCGCGCGGCGGAGCCCCCGAGCCCCCCCGGCCGCCCGGGCCCCTTGGCGGCTCCTGCGGCCCCCGCGGACACCGGCAATAAGTGACAGCGGCGAGTGTCCCCGCCGGTGTCCCCGGCCGGGGGAGCCGCGCGGCAAAGCCCGCAGCCCGGCCCGCGCAGCCGGCCGCGAAGGGGTTAAGGGCCTTCTTTTCTTCCCTTTCCTTTCGTTTTTCTTTCTTTTCTTTTTTTTTTCTTTCTTTTTTTTTTTGACTAAAGAACTGTGGATGTAGTTTGCGTAATATCTTTATTACTGAAAACTTCAAGGTAAGCGAGCAATAGAAACCAGATGTGGGGATGGGAGGAAGGCCGGGTAAGAGTAAGTGTAAGGGGTAGCAGGAGTTAAAGGGGGGAGGAGGGGAATCAGGTTGAATGGCAGAACCAGGCGGGGGGGGAGAGACGGAAGGTGAGTATTGATTTATTTTTAAGCCCCTTTCGGGTTGCAACTGACCCTTCAAGATAATAAAAGAGGCTTTTTCCAGCCCCTGTCCCTTTGCAAGTTCATCTCTGATAGCCCCAGAAGCAGAGCTGCCTTTGTGTGCCTGGACACCCCGATAAAATATCTCCTTGCTGCCCGCTTTTGAGCCAGTTGTTTCATACCTGCAGAGGAGAAAAGTTATTATTTATTTATTTATTTATTAAGAGGTAAACGCATGTTGATGGCAATAAAGGCAAGGCGAGCTGCCAGCCGCAGGGACGCCCGAAGGAAGGAACGGGTTAATGTGGTGAGGGGGAGGCTTAAAAGCATATAGCTGCGGGGGGAATCCATGCTGTCCTTCATGGAGAAATGGCTAGAGGGGGGGGCTGCGGAGCGGGGGTCCCCGCAGCTGCGCGGCGAGTGAATGGCGAGTTGGGCCAGAACGAATCGAGTGTGTCACAAGCATTAAGCTGCTCCCCCGCTTCCGCCCTGCGCAGATCCCCGCATCCATCCCCTAATTGTATCGGTGCCGTGGCTTCATTTTCTATTTTTTAATCATATATTTTTTTTTCTAAATGCAAAAGATACAACCTCCATCTCCTTGCGCTTCCACACATCCCCATACACACACACACCCCTTCCCGGGCCCCCTCCCCTCCTCTGTCATCATCTACATATTAATTGGGGGAGAGGTCTCTTTTATTTTTTTTTCTTTTCTTCTTCTTTTTTTTTTTTTCCCTATGTGTGTGTGGGGGAAAGCACTGAGAAGAGTCTCTTTGGACTTGAGATAGTTTGGAGGGAGAGACGAAGAGCAAGTGAGTGTGTGTGAGAGGGAGAGGGAGGGAAGGAAAAAGACCCCTTTTACTGTGCAAGATCTTAAGGGGGTTTGGAGATCTGGTCAGCTTTCAAGAACATCTGAATCCTCTTAGAGCTCCCTGGCCCAGCTGTGAGTGTGTGCGCATGAGAGGCAGAGAGAAAGAGAGGTTCCTGGTGCCCCTCCAAGCGCATTAAGGACACTCGGGCCTTTTAATTTTAGGAATGAATGCTGATACTTGTGTTTCTTATTGTGATCCGGCTGCCATGGATTCCTACTACAACGCAGCCTCCCAGGGCACAGAAGGCTCCTCGCCTTTTAGGGCATTTCAAGCAAGTGACAAGTTCAGCCCTACTTTCCTGGCCAGCAAAGGACAAGGCTTTGGTGACAGCAGCACTAAGTGCCGGAGCCGCTTCAGCCAGCAGGAATGCCAGTCCCTGGAGGGCGGCGTGCAGGCGCCCAGCTCCGCCGGGGCCCCGGCCTCCTTTAGCAAGTACCCGCCGCCGCCGCCGCCGCAGCAGCACCTCTACATGCAGCGAGGCGCCTGCAAAACCCCCCCGGAGAGCAACCTCAAGCTGCAGGAGAGCGGCGCCCACAACGGCACCCTACAGCTCCCCTGCTACGGTGAGTGCCCTGTGTGCGGGCGGGCAGAAGGCGACGCTCCCGTCCTGCGGTCCCGGGGACACCCCCGTTCTCCGGAGCCGGCCGCTTCCTAATCCTGCGGTCCCTGGGACACCTCCTTTCCCTGGAACCGGCCGCATCCCCGTCCTGCGGTCTCGGGGACATCCCTGTCCTCCGCTCCTGGGGACCGTGCCTGGCTTGTGCGCGCCGCGGGGTCCCCGCTCCGGCCGAAGCTCATACGCTCCCGAAAAGCGTTATTTTTAATTATTTATTTATCTATGCCATTCGGGRAAATCCGTAGCGAGGAGGAAAAGAAACACAAAGAAAAAGGATGAGCGGGTCGCTTGGTTCGTGCAAAATATCCCTCTAAGGGGGCACCGTCTTTTTAAAGGGGAAATCCTGGAAATTTTCATCGAAATCATCACTTTCCGTTGTCATGGTCTCTCCCACTCACCCGTTTCGCACTCCCCCCACCCTCCCCGCTAATTGCCACTCCCCTAATTGATTTCTGCCCGGCAGCTGGGCAGATAACCCGCGCGCATCCTCCCCTGCGCTCATTAGCGGCAATTAAGACGTTTCCTCTGGCCGGCGCTTCGYGGGGTAGCGCTCAGTGGAGTCCTTCCTCATGTCGCTTCCGAGCATGTGTTCAAAGGGCGAATTGCTTCTCGGGGAGCTCTCCGTTATTCTGGGCGGCCAGGAAAGGCGGGAGGGGGAGAAACAAAATCTAGTTTTGCGGAGAAGGGAGAGCAGAAACAACCCCTCTCGCTTTGCCCCTCGGTGCTGTCCGCGCGCCGGAGCAGGGCTGGCTCTGGGCTCGACCCGGGGCCAGAGCGAGCGGGAACGTTCCCGGCACCGGGTGGGACACGTCGGGGACCTGGGCCCGGCCCGGGCGGCTGCGCCCTCCAGGTTGCGGGACACGTCGGGGAAGGGGCAGAGGCCGAGCCTGGCGCGGCGGCCCCGCTCCCGCCCGCTCCCCGCCGCCGTTTCGGGCGCTCGCCGCTGGTTGATGCCCCTTTTCTTTCTCTTTCTCCCGCGGCAGCCGCCGCTGCCCTCGCCCCGCGGCCGCGCTCAGGTGCCCGCAGTCCCGCAAGGCCGACGAGCTCTCGCTCCGGCACCGCAGCGGCCGAGGCGGCTGCCCCTTCGCGTGGGGCTCGGCTCCCCACGGACGCGTCCTGGCCGGGCCGCGGGGACAGGGGATGTCGAGGGACACGGGATACAACCGGGTCCGGTTGGAGGGTTGTTTTTTCTCCCTCCTCTCCACTTTTTTTTTTCCTCTTCCAGGAGAGGGTTTTAGGGTGAGTCTTTCTCCTTCTCCCATTGGCACTAATTCCCGCTCGGTGGAAAACTGCGGGAGCGCAGAGCGGCCCCGCCGCCCCGTTTCCGCTAACAGGCTCTCTTGTCGTTGTAGGTCGAAAATYCCTGGGCAGCCGCTTAGCCTGCGATGACCCGTTGCGATCCTGGCTAGGGCCACGCCAAGGGGCCCCCCGAGATCCCTGGGTTTATTCCCAAGCGGGGCAGCGGTCCCCGCTCCAGAGGGGAGCCCCGCRGCGGAGCCCGCGGCCCGGCCGGAGCCCGAGCCCCGTGTGATGTGGCTGAGGGCACCGGGGCGCTAATAGGAGACACATGGATCGGCGGGGATAATTAATAGCAATAATAATAATACGGGCTAATGATTAAAGAGAGAGGCTCACTAATAACAGCCAGATCCAGGTTTAGGATAGCGACTGCAGCGCAGGCAGCTGCGGGGGCGCCGCCGCCGCCTTCCAGATGGCCAAAGCGCCKGGATGGCTCGAGCCCCGTGCCGGGCGAGGGAAGCGGGCACCGGCCGAGCGGGAACGGGAGCGGGGGGCTCTTGCCGGGAGAACGGGCACGGGGTCGGCACGAGGCGCTGGCGGACGCTCGGGGCCCGCGCGCCCGGCGGGAGGCTGCGGGCACAGTCGCTCTGCTCCCGGAAAAATAAAGAAAGAAAAAATAAATTAAAAAAAAAAAAAAAAAAAAAAGAGAGAGAGAGAGAAAAAAAAATAAAGTGGAAAAAAAATCACGGGAAAAAAAGACCCTCTCCTGCCCGGCCGTGGGCAGGCGCCCCGTTCCTTTGCCCGCACCCAGGACAGTGCCTCATTTGCCAGCGGGCCGGGGCTCTCTATTTTTTTTTTTTCTTTATTTTTTTAATATATATTTGAATTCTTTAATAAACAAGTCGATTCGAGTTATAAAAAGCCTATGTCTGCCATCTATTGCTCCCGGCTTCTATTTCTAGATCTAAGCTCCTTCCATTGCATTGTACAGATAAATATAGGCCGGGGAGGGCTGCGGCCGTAAATATAAGCAGGAAACGATAGACGGTCAGTGAAGCCCTTCCAGAGCGGCGGCCGGTGGCACCGGGGACCCGGGCGGCCCCCTGTCCCCTCGGCTCGGCCCCCGCTCCCTCCCTGCTGTAAAACTGAGGCTTATCCGCAAACTGGAACCCACAATTAAAGCAGAAGTCTTAAACAACCCCCCTCAGAACAGGTTATATATCTTTGCTTAGGAGGGGGGAAACCTTCGAGTGATTTATGTGCTGGAGTAATCTGACGTGCTATTTCTTCCGCGTGCAGATGAAGTAAGTTATATGTCTTAAAACATATGCATGTCTATAGATTTATACACGCAAAATGCGTACCTATATTGTTGTCTAGAAGTACAGGCTGGAAAAAAAAAAAGCCTTTTGGGAAGCGAATGTGATGGGGATGYTTGCTCAGAGGGGACAGCAGCGGGGAAACGGGCTTTTTCTTGCAGAGGAAATTCTTTAAGTGCCGCATTATGCAAATAACGACCATTTCTTTCATTTAGCGAGCAGATATCAAGTGCAGGCGACAGCGCGTAAATTAACAGAAGTGCAGAAAGCAATCGCTATAGGAATCAGAGGATCGCAGAGCGATTTTTCCTTTTTTTTTCCTCCTTTTTTTTTTTTTTTTCCCTCCTGTTTTTTAGGATTGATGATTTTAGTGCACTTCTCCTTCCCCTCGGGAAGCGGCAGCCGCAGCAGGGCCGGAGCGAGCGGTTCGCGGCCCCGCACCGCGCCGTGGAGCGACCCGAAGGGGCTGCATTGGGGTGGGCCGGGGGGCCACGCGCAGCGGCCCCCGCGCTCCTGGGGCTCCCGCTCCCACGCGTGTGGGACAGGGACAGGGACCCGCAGCGTGCGGCGGCCGCCCCTCACCGCGGCCTCGGGGTGCAGCGGGGCGAAGGGGGTGTCCTCTGCCCGCGCCGCTCCCGCTCCCGCTGGCGCGGCCTCGCCTCCGCAGCCTCGCCTCGCCCAGCCTCCGCAGCCTCGCCCACCCGAGCTGCCAGTCACGGCTGCAGCCTCCCCGGCGCGTCCCGGGCGGGGAGGGAGCTCCCGCGGCGCGGGGCTCGAGCGGGAGCCGCGGAGCGGAGCGGGACGCCAAGGTAGGGAGCGCGCTGCGAGCCGCGGCCGCGCGGGAACGCGCTCGTTTGCGCCTCTTTCCAAAGGGTGTTTTCTTGACTCGGACGGTAGATTTGGCTGGAGGCTTTTATAGGATCCCTGACCTGAGCTGTTTATAACACTCATGTGTCAAAGGAGCCTCCCTCCTCCTTTGCTTTGCGCCGTTCCTCCTCGCAGGAAGATTTCTTTTCACACTGGAGCTGTTTATTTTCAATTTGTCCGCTGCTGATTGGGATTAACTCCGCTTTAGCCCTTAATTTCGGCAGCGCACACTGTAATCCCAGCAGGACGTTACCAGCGACAAGAAGTGGGTAGAAAGAGAAAGAAGGAGAGAGAGAGAGGGGGGGGGGGAAAGTCTTAAACTTTTACTAGTCGTAATTGTTTTGAAAGCGGCGCAGTGCGAAGCCGACGAGCAATATGCTGATGGGGASAGAGATTTGGAGATGCTTACTGAGTGCGTCTTTTCCTCGGGGTTAGATGTAGGAGTGCTATTAACAATATATACTGATGCCAGATAGCGCAAATGAGCTGTGCGTGTGTTATCTGGAGCTGCAGGCTGTTTATTTTGTGCTGCCTTTTGAGTGTACATCCAGTGTGGTTGCATGACTAACTGGTTGGAGTGATTCACTGGCTGCTTTATGGGTGACTGCTCAAAACAAGTTGTGAATCAAAAGAGATTTCTTTGGCTGTGGTTTCTAACCTCCCAAGTTAAATGCACTCAGGGTTTAAGGGGAGCTAATGTGCAGACTTCAGTCCCTCAGATCTTGGAGATTTATTCCCTCTCCAAGCCCTGCATTCAAAGCCATGATGAGTTTCCCTTGTAAGAGGGAGGTGGTGTCTGCGAGGCTCCCAGCCAAGGTCTGCTGCGAGAGGACATCTCCAGCCTCATCGCAGTCCGCTCAGCCGCCCTGGTTTCCACCTCCTTAGCCAGTTAYGCCCGCAGCCTTTAAAGCTGGTTTACAGTCCTGCCCGTGGTGTTTGGGCAGCCCGGCCGTTCCCAGCTCGGCGTGGTGCATCCTGTGGCAGTTTCCTTCCCTTTCTGCCCTTGGAAAAAATGAGACTCAGAGGCCGAAAGCGGCCTGTGCAAGGTCAAGCTGTCACTTGGTGGCATCACCCGGTCCTTCCTAGGGCCAGGGCTCTGCCGGGAGATTATCAGCAGCCTGGAGGGAGGAGGCAGAGGAGGAGCGCGGTGCAGAGGCAGGAAAGGAACTGAACTCAGGAGGCCCTAAGCCTGGTTTTGGAGGGGGCTGAACTCACTTTTCCTCAAGGTCAGGTCCTTATTCAGTCCAAAAACCTGTAGCAATATGTGTGCCCTGTGTATCCACGTCTCCTATTGTATAAAATACGCTTAAGCTGCCAAGTCACAGTAGTGGTCTCAGTTTTGTTAAGTGACTTGTCTGTCTGGACAACTCATATTGGTCAAAAGGAGAGATGATTTGGTCACTGTTTTTGAGAAAATGCTGAGAAATCCCTACCCTAAAAGTCATGTGTTTCTGAGTTATCCTTGGATGGAGAAAAGCCAGAGGAGCTACACAGCTAACATAGGACTGCTGTGATTTGAGAA